TTAAAAAAAAAAAAAAAAAAAGAATCAGGAGCCCAGCTGGCTGGTTAGCTCACTTGGTTAGAATGCAGTGCTGATAACACCAAGGTCCAGGGTTCAATCCCTGCACCAGCCAGCCCCAACAAACAAACAAAAAATCAAGAGCCACTAGCAGCAAAAGAACTTATGACAAGTGAATATAATACAATTCTAAGGTGATCAAATAAATCAGTGGGACATGAAATCCCTTGACAAAAACACACAGCCGGCGCACATCTTTTCAGGAGCCCAACTGCGGCACAAAGGTAGTCATTCCCACACTGGCCTGATTCAAGAATCACCTGGGCATTGTTAAAAACACTGATTCCCAGCCCCCTCCCCTGGAGAGTCGCATTCCATAGGCAGGGCCCAGGCATCTGCATTTTTAGCAAGCACTCATGGCAGTCTCTAAGAATAGGCACATTTGGGAAGCACTAGATAAAAGGAAGAATGGAAAGTCTGCTCAGCCGCCAGGGGGGCAACACCCAAGCTCATCCCTGCTGTGCCCTCTGGTCCATTCATAGGTGACACCCCCAAAGGTGGCACGATGGAGGGTGATGGGAGCAGGGTCAGCAACATTTCCCTCTCTGCTAACCCAGCAAGGCAAGGGGAGGTTGCAGAACTTGGGGATGGCTGTCGCACTCTGGGCCCCCTCCTGGGGCCTCATTAATTGACAGTTCCCGTTGAGGTAATGTACTGGGGGCATCTGTTGCTGGTGTCACTGGCACTGGAGAGTAAAGAGCCCTAGGGGTAATCCTGCCTTTCCTTTTCCATCAGGCCTGAAGATTTGACCAGAACTCTCCTCCCCAGCAGTCCCACAGGAGGCCTCCTCCAGCACACAGATCGCACCCAGAAGAGGTGGCACAATCCTCTTCCCAGAGCCAGGAGAAATCAGCCGAGCTGTGGCATGAGCCCCGGTCCCTGCACAGCCCCTCCCCCAAACACTGGCCTTCTTCCAAGGAGGTAGTACAGGACCCTCAGTCACCCACCCAGAGACTGTCAGCAAGGCTAGAAACAGGAGCAGTAACACTGATCCTTGCGTTCCTGGAGAGCAGGAGAATTTTTAATTACCATGTTTGGTCTTGAGCGTATGCCACTCTCTATTTATTTGTTGACTTAGCTGAGTTTTGGCTGCCAAGTCAGTGTGCCAGGGTCTGCCCCCAGCTCCATCCTGGCATGAGCATGGAGTTTGTCTGCCTGGGGACACAGCAGATGATTAAGGAAGGGGTAAGAAAAGTGCCAAGCCAGCATAATGCCCAGAGAGAGAGAGAATTTTAGGGACCGTCCTTCCAACAGGAGGTCAGTAAAAGAAGGGGAGGGACTTGGGGGCTTCCCAAGCTGGGTTCCAGAAGAATTGGGAGGTTAGAACAGCCTAGCAGCAAAGCCCACCATAGGTCAGCCATCCACCTATGCCATATATGCCCATCTCTTTCTTCCCGGGGTCCAGTCATAGGGAGAAGGGGGTGGAAGCAATCCCCAGAGCTTCCGCTTCATTGTGTCACCACTGGCCTCATCTCTCACCCTGACCCTGCCCCCACCCCGGCAGCCTCTGTCCTAGAAGGAACCAGTTCTCTATCTGTGGAGGGGACATTTGTCCCCAGGAGTCTTTTGGAAGGAGAGGAGACAGAAAGATGGAGAAGGAGGCATCGCAGCTGGGAAAGACTGGGGAGGGGATTCACCCCACCTCTCCTCACAGACATGCCGAGGCGCCAGCATGCATGCACACGGACCACGCATTCAGGGACGCACACGCCCTGATTCCTTTTACTTCATTCTTGCAGCACCACAGCAGCACACGGGTGAGACGTGTCCTCCATGTACACCCTCCACTCACAGAGTGTCTTTTGGGACCTACAAACATGATAGGGGAAAGCCAAAGTGCAAGGCGACTGGAGCCCCTGGGGGAGGGCTGGGAAGCGGTGATTCTTGTGAAAAGGGGAGCACAGACCCATCCCGTGAGAATCTGATAACAGGTATGGATCATTCTCTTCCAGAAAAATCCACATACCTTTATGTATGATGAACCCCCAACAATTTTACACACAGTATCAGAGGGATTGAGGACCCCTGCAACCTATCCTTATGGCTTCTGGGAATCCACAGACCCCAGTCTCATACAAAGGACATACATGGCCCAGAGTCAGTGTTCATTACTACCAAACAGACCACAAAGTCATTGTCCCCGAGGATTCCTGAAGGCTCCTGACGAGCATGGAAGGGAACCTGACCACAAGCAGCACATCTTTTAGTATAACCAGACACATCTTGGGCTCACCCTGCCTGAGCCTGAGTTTCCTGAAGCAGCTTGATCCTTTCTCCAGTATCTCAACAGATCCCAGCCCCCAAATCAGACACGCCCTTGTAACCTCACTTCATTCCCCTGTCTAGAAAAACCCCAACCTCAGAGATGTCGGAGCTGCCTCTAGAGAGCCCCATGCACACTCACCCCCAGTGCCCGGACACCGCACGCTGCACCCGCAACCACATCTGCATCTCTCTGTACTTGCCCGGGGCCAACCTGGGCATCCCCCAATTCTTCATAGCCCCACCCACACTACAAAGACCTGCTGCTTCTCTCCATGTTGAGGCTTTAGGAAGAAAGCAAGCTGAAGGAGGGAGGTTCTGGCCCCCATTCCTCCTGATGCACCCCACCACTGGCAAGTTTCCAAAGGAGCTAGTCCCTCCCTGCCACCCCAAAGCTCCCTCTGGGCTGCCGGGGTCACTGACCTGGTGGGAAGAGGCAGGAGAGGAAGCTGGGGTGGTGCTGGGATGGTGCAGGGGGACAGGGCCCCGGCAGCTGCATCTGTCTCCGCAGAGAGAGTGAGAAGGAACGATCGGCCTCAGCATCCCCCCCTCAGGCCTGGCCATCCATCGCCAGCTGGGAACCTGAGCTGCTCCCTCAGAAGGAAGGAGAGGGAACCAAGGAGATCCCAGTCCCCCCCTCCGCCTTGCAATCCCCACCCCCACCTCCCCACCCACTGGATTTAAAAGTACAGGGACTCTCAGGGCAGCACAGCATGTAACTAACACACACACACACACACACACACACACGCACACACTCACTGTCACACTGACATGCAGACGGACACATGTACCATCTCAAGACCCATTGCCAAGGGGTGGGGCTTCCAAGGTTGAGATGAGAACATTTCCCTCCCCCTCCCATCCCGAATTCAGACACAAATGGACCAGCTGCTGCCAAAATTCGAACCTCTGAGCCCACTCCTAACTCAAAGCCCCACAAGCTGCCTACTGTGGGGACCCTCAGCGGACAGACAAGGAAAAGAGCCTGGCAAGCCAGAGGGAAATCAGGCGTGGGGAAAGGAAGTCTTTGAGAGACCTTGGAAACTGACACCTCTGCGATCATTGGTTCCAGCCCAGCTCCGGAACCTCAGGAGGAGGATAGGAGGACCAGGCAAAGCTCTGCCTATAACTCAGAGCTGGGCACACAGGACTTGCAGAGTTGGGGGAGGTGGGGAAGATGAGCACAATATCCTCAGAACCTCCAGATCCCTCCAGCACCCACACAGCCATTCAGCCATTAATTTCACAAAATGCCTTGAGTGCTTGCTCTAACCTAAATAGTCATTCTGGCAACATATATACTTTTGGGTACCAAAGCAGGTGAGACAGACCTAGTCGCACTCCAAAAATCTAGTTGGGGTCTTTTTTTTTTATACCCCAAGCTTCTACAGAGGGTTCCAGAAGAGTTGTGTTTGAGCTTTAAAAAATGACCAAAAAAAGATATCCAGGGTGAAGGGTTGGGGAGACACAAAGGAATAGAAAAGCCCTCAAGGAGGAGTTGTCTTAATGCTTTGGTTTCTTGGTTTTCAGAGTGTTAAGAGTGTTAAAATAAAGGGACCCTAAGATGGGGGTGGTTAACCCTTCCCTCTCGGAGTCTGTCTAAACCACCATTACACCTCCCAACTGCAGACACACCGGCGACACTGTCAGGCCCCACCAAAACACACCAATGAATCCAACCAGGAGACCCCCAGAACACACTTCATCACCCAGAGGAGGCCCAGCCATAGACCCCACCCCAGCCGGCCCGCAGCTAACCCCAGCACCCGGGAAGGGAATGTGCCCAGCGGGGAAGGGATTCAGGAGGGATGAAGGAGGTACGAACAGTTGCCATTAGAATTACAATCAAGGCTATTTGGGGAGGAAGCCTTGGGCCCTCTGTGCCAAAGTGCTGCAGAAAAGAATTATTTAAACTTTTATTGTTCTTCTGGCTCAGACAGTACATTGATTGGTGTGGGGGCTGGGAAGAAAAGAAACCAAGGGGCTGAGAATCAATGTTTGGGCAGCTCCTGAAGATGGGTAAGTAATTGCTCCTTCTTCTCATCCTCCTGTCCCTGTCCCTCAACCCCACCATCCCAAACACCACAACACACACCTCAGCCTGGCGGCTCCTGCCAAACAAACTCTGCAAATGAAAATTTCAACTGGGAGAACGGGCCTGGGGCCAAGTTCCATTCAAATAAGCAAATACCCCACACAATGGTCTGATTCATCCCCAGGCCTAGTTACACAAGCCTGGCTCAGGGTAGAGAAAATAAGTATCAATATAAGTGTCCACACTGGGCACTGGGGGCAGAGGAGTTGCAGGGGACTGGGGAGGGGGCCTCGGAGAACTCCTTGAGGCTGGGAAGGGGAGAAGAGGGAGAGGGCTAGGGTGGAACACCAGAGGCTAGGGACACCCCCGCCCCCCGCGGCCTTCAGTCATAGAAAAGGTCACAAAACTACTCACCTTCAGCCAGCCACGTCTCCTGGAAATGACTTAGATCCTGGAAGAGATCTGAGGGGCGAATAATAGAATTCGAGGTGAGGCGGAGGGGACAGTGGGAGAGAGGGAGCCCTAGCGGAGCCCGGTGACCCCCACCCCTGGAGGGTAGGGGCCGAAAAGAATGACCAGAATCTCTGGAAGGACGAGTCTTGGGTTTCAGGATCGGCCCTCGGGTGTGTGTTTGTGGACGGGGGCGGCGGGAGGTCGCGGTGCGTCTCTCCGGCTCTTTACCTTCGGAGTCGGGGGGCGGCAGGGAGCCCGGGTCCATGAGCTTCCCCTGCGGGACCGTCAGCGCTTCGCTCAAGCTCCCATTTCCGGGCGATTTCTGCGAGAAGGGGGAGATGCCCCCGAGTCACCCTGAGGCGCCTGGTCTGGGGGGCGGGGTTGGGGTCCCGGGGTGACTCAGGGGCCGGGCAGCCCGGGACTCCGCTGGGGCCGCGGGGAGGGGTGGTGGGGAGGCGGGCGCGGCGCTCACGCTGCAGAAGGTGTAGGGCACTTGCTGGTCCAAGTATCCGCCTTTCATCCTCCGCTCCATCCGGCCGCTCCCTCCGGCCACACGGCCAGGGCCCCGCGCGGGGGCAGAGACCTGGGGAGGAGGGGCGGCTGCGTCCTCACGCCGTTCTGGGGAGGCTGCGGGGGGGTGGGGGCAGTCCCGACGCTCGGGGTCCGACGGCGAAACTTCCCGACTCACTCAAGCGATGGGGAGGTCTCCACCACCAACCCCCTCCCGCCAAAGGCCGGAGGAGGTCCCACCTGCTCCGGGAGCCGGGCTCGCGGTTTCCGCTCTCTGCAGCCCTGCTCTGCCCGGGCTCGGTTACATAAGACGCGTGTGTGTATGTGTGTGTGTGTGCGTGTGTGTGCGCGCGCATGTATGCACGTGTGTGTGTGCGCGCGTGTGTGCACGTGTGCGTGTGCGCGTGTGTGCGCGCGGAGGAGCGGGCGAGGCGCACACTATCCGCACGCCCTCCACTCCGGCGCCCCCTCCAGCCCCGAATCCCAGCGCCTCCCACCGCCCGCCTCGGAATCTGCGGAGGCGGCAGGGAGAGAGAAAGAGCTTGGCTTGTGTTGCAGGCGAGGCGAGGAATCACCGACGCTCTCCCTCTCTTCCCCTCCCGCAGCCTCACCTGAGGCCCGGGCGTCTGTGCTGGAGCCTCGAGGGGTCCCGGGCATGCCCCGGGGCCGGCACCGAGGGCCGCGGGGCTAGGCCGGAGCGAGGCGGCCCCGGCCCCGGGTCCCCAGCGCACCGGCTTCTTTTCCGGGCGCCGCAGACAGTTGTGAGCCCGGGGGAGCAGCTGATTGGTGCATTTCCTCGGCCTCAGCCTCGGCGCTCTCTCCCCCACCCGGCTCCCTTTGTTTCATTGACTTTTGTGAATGAAACCCCAGGGCCGGGCACGCCCGCCAATCCGGAGACTCACCCCGCCGAGCCGGGGGGCGGTGTTTCCCAGCCGTGGTGGCCAATCAGAATGTAGGGGGTGGTTCCTGGCTTCATTCACGGCTCGGGCTCCCATTCATAAAAAATCAACTCCTCGCGGCCAGAGTTCATTCATAAATAACTGAGAGAAAAGGAGGGAAGCAGAAAACCCGGCTGCGTCTCCAAGCGGCCTGGGACGGCTGTGGGTCTGAGGCCCCGAAAACTCCTCTGGCTGGCGTCTGCACACCCATCTGTGTATCGGCGTGTACGTGGGAGTGTGAACATGTCTGTGTGCGCGCCCTGGGGGGCGGGGGGCGGCGAGCGGGCTCGTGTGCCCAGAGGAGCAATAATAATTAGCATTTATGAAGCGCTCCGCTTCCACGTGCTCATTTCGTTCCCATCGTTCGGCGAAGTGGATCTATTATTTCCATTTTACAGATATTGAAAATGAAAGCTGAAAGAGGAACGGTGACCTCACCTGAAGTCAGTCAGCTAGTCAGTACCCCTGGGGTTTACAACACCTAATCCTCCACACTCTCCTGTACAGGCCACTGAGGCCGCGATTAAATGAATTAAGCTGTGACAATGATGGATACACAGGAGGCACTCAATAAATGTAAATTGGCACGGAATCTAGGTTTTTCCTCAAGGGTCTGTACTCTGCAGAGCTGTTTTGTGACCCACTTTCTATTGATTGCAGCAGAAACCAGAGGCCCCAGGATGAACAATTTCTGAAAGTGTAACTCCCTCTGAGACATCTTCCCTCTTATCCAAGAGGAGGCATGGGGTGTTAGGAAACAACCCCCCTCCCCAAGTGATCTGATGATGGGTTTCAGTTTTGTCCAAAAAGCTGGTTATAGTCTCTGTCACCTCATTCATTCACCACTTCATTTAATAAACATTTATTGTGCCAGACACAGTGCTGGATGCCAGGCAGGCAGCTGTGACCAAGACAGACATCTGATGGGAGCTATGCTGCTTGGGCTGCAGCTCTGGGGGCACATGGGACAAGAAGCCTCACAGGCCTTTTTTCCAAAACAGCTTTCTGGGTCTTCAGCCTGTGCACTTCTTTGATTTTGCTTCCTGCCAGTTTGTGATAAACACAAGAGACTGTCCACACCCCAGATCAGTAGGGACTGCTTTCAAAAGTCATCTAACCTAACGTCCCCACTTTACAGATGAGGTAGTGGAGATTCAGAGAAGGCAATGGCACGTACAAGCTCTTTCAGCTGATCTGGGTCAGAATCGGGACGAGAACGTCAAACTTCTGGCACCTGTTTAGGACTGATTCCACGAGATCAGCTTGGGCAAGGAAAAATAAACTTCCTTCTCTTCCTTGCTCAGATGTTCTTTAAGGCTCACATCTACTGTCCCTCTCCTCCAGGAAGCCTTCCAGGAAAGCCTGGATCAGCTCCAGCCCTAAGACCCCTACAACATTCTTGCCTGTGTCTCTGGTGTGGATGTCTTTCATTCTGCCTCATGGTATAGACACCCCTGTGCATGGAGAGCTCTCCAGGGCCTGGGAAAGGTCTCATTTGCCTCAAAGTCCTCCTCCAGCCTGCTTCATGCTTGTGAGAGTCACATAAAATGCTTGCTCAGTGAATACGTACAATAAAGACCAAATTAATCAAGCTTAGCAGAAACCCTGCCCAAGGAAGAAGAGACAAGCCCAAGGAAATTCCAGTTTGGGGCTGGATGGAACCAGTTTAGGGAGGGGTGTGACTCCCTGGGCCAAGAGAAGTGGGGGAGGAGGACAGAGGGTTCTTCCAGGAAGGCAGCTCTGATGTGCTTTCCATGACAATGAAGAAGATTCCAGTGGGTCCCTGAGTGGACACACTGGGCACTGCAGTCAGGGCCTCTCTAGGGGTGCCCCTCTGAGTTCTTCTTTTTTTTTTTTTTTTTTTTTTTTTTCTTTTTACCCTAGACCTTGGCGTAAGGCTCTGAGTTCTTGCATTTCTCTGGAGGGCCCATGGCTCCCAGGCAAGTAAAGGCCCCCTCCACATTCCCCACCCTCTCCAGGCCTGGCAGAGGCTGAGGGGCCTTCCTCCCTCGCCTCCACCTCAGCATGCAGGCCAAGCGAACAAAGACACCACTGCTGCCATCACTGCTATCCCTGGTCTCTGATTCCATGCCCAGGCTCAGAGCAGTGACATCTCCAAGAGGAACATTCGAGTCTCTTCCAGGGCTCGAGGTAGTTGGGGAGAGAAAGGACCAGAGGAGCTGGAGGTTTCTGTTGGGAATCACACCACAGTAACAAATCTATACCAAGTGAGCTCCACGTGCTGTTCCCTGCTGTGAGTGCATGATCCCCAGTAACTCACGCAGCTTTCACAGCCACCCCAGGAGGTAAGTGCTGTGATTGTCATACTCTTTTTACAGACTAGAAAACAGAGGCCTCATAAACACGTGTCTACTCCCAGGGCCCACACAACAGATCGAGGACACCCCAAACCGATTCCCAGGCGTACAGACACTTTGAGGGAACACACAAACGGACAGATGGAGGACACACCTGAGCCAGAGCGAACTGTCACAAGACAAAATTACAATAAATTGTATTACAACACCAAGGTCAAGGGTTCGGATCCCCATACTGGCCCACCACAAGCACACACACAAAAGTAAAATAAAATTACAACAAATTTAGTATAAAGATTTTTTTTTTTGATGGCTGGCCAGTACAGGGATCTGAGCCCGTGACCTTGGTGTGTACACCAGCACCATGCTCTCCCAAGTGAGCTAACCTGCCAGCCTAATTTAAAGATTTTAATTGGCTTTATTTGTGATTTTAGAATCAGGCAACATTTCATTCTGTAAAATAGAATGGAGTGTTCTGATGAGCCGAGCAAGGAGGTTGGTTTTATAAACAGAAAAGGGCTGAGGAAAGGAGAAACAGGAAACAAAAAGTGTATTGGTGGGTTCAAAGTGACTTTTCTTGTGAAGGTTCAAGGAGAGGGGATTTCCTCAACACGCCAGCTGAAAATGGCCTGTTTGGGGATTTGGCTATTAGCTCTCTCTCTCCTGATTTCTCTGAAGGTCTATATAACGGTCTTAGGTTTGGCTTGGTGGCATGGAACTTCAGCGCGAGTGACTCCATTTTGGTTTAGTCTGTTTGGGCCTAGAGCAGGAGTTCTGTCCAAACCAATGGCCTCCTATGAATTTTATTTAACAATACACATGGACACACCCAGATGAAGGATGCTCAGAGTCTCCCCCCAGATACACAGCTTTATGGAGGACACACACAACGTACTCCCTGACACCCTCCAACACACCTTTGTTGGGCGTTGCACAGGCAAATGTTTTCTTCCCTCTAGTAGATTGGGGGCTGAACTCTGACCTGTTTTCCTGTAGTCTAAGATACAAAATGTAAATGTGGGTTTTAGATATGC